GGCCCTCCCCCCCCCCCCGCCTCTAAACTGGAGAGCTGCTAACTTTATTAGCTCCTTATATGGCAGCACCATTTTCTCACGCCTTTAATGGCTCTCTTTTGATCTGTCCTGTTCTTGCTTTGCTTTTCTTGACGTGAACACGGTGTTCAAGCTGAGATGGGTCTATAACCTGCTCCCTCATTAATATATGACCTGGCATTTTAATCCTCTCCAAGTGCCGATAAGAAACGTCCAGCTGCTAACTTTATTAGCTCCTTATATGGCAGCACCATTTTCTCACGCCTTTAATGGCTCTCTTTTGATCTGTCCTGTTCTTGCTTTGCTTTTCTTGACGTGAACACGGTGTTCAAGCTGAGATGGGTCTATAACCTGCTCCCTCATTAATATATGACCTGGCATTTTAATCCTCTCCAAGTGCCGATAAGAAACGTCCAAATGTTTTAACTGCGGGGTTGGCCGAGATGCCCGGAGATAGCTGGGTTCTCGGCTACACCCACTGCGGGGGCATGAGTAATTTAAATTGCGCCTTGCGGTGCACCAGACCCTGCCCTTGCGTGTCCTGAAGGCTGAGGGCCATCGGGCGATGGAAAGCAGCTGAAGGCCCCTGTTCCTCAGCTGTTTGCCCCTCTGGGAAGGGTCGCAAGCAGGGATGCGTGTCCGTGTCTCGCCCCTGGATGCTCATCCTGTTGTCACCGGTGGCAGGACAGTGGGCTGGTATGAACGCTCGTCCATTCGGCAGTGGCAAGGATGGCGTTGGTTGCTGCCACGTAAGACCGGTCCTTCGTCGAGGCCCCTTTGGCCTGCTGAGGGGACGGTTATGCTCGCTCTGGTCTCTAGCCTGTGTCTGTGTCCTTTAAAATCTCCGAACGAGTTGGAGGGATCCGGTTACAGCGGCATCGCCTGAGTGCGGTCGCGTGTTGCAACTGGGAACAGCTTTCCCCCCAGAGCGTTTGAAAAGCATCGGGATGGTCCAGAGCTTCGTTTTGCGTCACCGTCCGGGCTTTGTGCTCCTCTTCCGCCTGGCTTTCATGTAAACGGAGCCCTTCAAGCACTCGCCTCAACTGTCTCTTCTGTCAACAGAGTCGATGGCTTTGTTTGCAATCCGTGGGTGTCCCTCCCGGCCAGCCTGCCTGCAAGATGGCCGTGTGACAGCAATGACCCCGCGTGAGGTTTCTTTGAAGGACCTGGGAGCCGACGCGGTTTTCTCATGTCCCTCAGAGGTGCCACCCTAGCAGGGAGGGAGGGGAAGAACGGCTGGAAGTGCTGTCGCAGCAAGCACGCTCGATCGGAGAAGGGAGAATTCGGCATCGAAAAGCCGTTCGATGCGTTGTTTGGGTTTCTTCCTCTCCAAAATGGATGCCTGTAGAGCCCGTTAAAGGTATAGACACGTAGTGACTGCTCTTTGGGCTTCTGACCAGTTAAAACAGAAAGCTAAGCCCATTTCCACGGAGAGGAAACGTGCGGTGGAAAGTGCTGGTGGAGCGCATTGGCGGTGCGTTTTCTCGTGCGCACGTGGCTCCATCACGTGTTTTAAATAATAAGACGTTTTGCGTGCAAAGAGTTGTTGGTGCTTTGTTTTTTTTTTTTTTTTCTTTTATTAATCAGTAGATCTCAGTTTGGCGGAGCAGCGTAACGCCCGTCATCGCTGGGGAAACTGTGGCACGGGGCTGTGAAGGGATGGGCTCACAGCCACCCGGCGGCGGTAGAATTGGGGATAAGACTCGGGTCCGCCAAGGCTTGAGCCGATGTGCGTCAGAGGTCTGATTAAATCAAGAGATTTGCATGTTTGTTAAGCCACCTATAGCTTGATGACTTTGACCAGTTGTCGAGGTGGACTTGGGTGGCAAAGGCAGCGAAGCTGAGCGCCGCTCGCCCCGACAAATAAAACGTGTTTTCAGTCAATAGAAGAGCGCCGTCAGGAGGCTTTGGCCAAGGAAAATACTGAAACGTCGGGCTGCTCTCTCTGGTGGAAGCAGCTAACCGGCTTCCAAAAAAAAAAAAAAAAAGCACTCGTGGCCCTGGGTGCATGTTTGGTTTTATCCTGACCTCGAACTGCTCGGACTCTCGCGGTGGTAATCGCTTGGGCATTTTCCTTTTCGGGCATAGAAATAGGCGTTTTTATCTGCGCAGAGGCACATTTTGGTGGAAAACCAAGACTCTCCGGGTTGAAAAACGTTTAGCTCCACATTGCGGAGCCGACTTTCGAGCAGGGAGGGGGTGCAACACGCGAGTCGGTTAACTTCTGCAAGCAGGGTAATATTCGCAACGAGGATTTTCTTCACCCCATCTTAATTAAAGAGCTCTGCAAAAACCCCGGGGGAGGAGAAGGGGGGTGACTCCCGCCGTCGGGGGGGTGGGGGATTCGGCTGCGAGTTTCTTTTGCGCCGTTCTCGGGGCAACGTTGGCCTCCCCGTTTCGGCGGAGGGGAAGGATTTTGGGCAGCCCGGAGGATTCGGTGACCTCGCTCGCCGCCAGCCCCGCTCGGGGTCGCCGGTAGCTCTGAACTTTGGAGCCATCGCGGATAAACAGAGCCGGTAGCTCTACTTTGGAGCCATCGCGGATAAACAGAGCTACGGGCTCCCCGAGTAATCCTTCCCTTGCTCCTGCCGATTGCGTCGAGGCAGCGAGCTGGGTTCTCTTTCCCCCGGGGGGGTAAGGGCGGTTTGGGCCTCAGGGCGGAGGAGACCCTCACGGCCCCCCACCTCTCGGTGGGGGTTGCGGGTTTCAGGGCCAGCAAGGGCGCTGCGATGCCCAGCGGGGACCCCCCCTCCCCGCTGCGGGCCGCCCCCCCCCCCGGATCACCCGCCGCCAGCCTCCAGCCTGGGTGCAGACGGGGTGCTGGGCGCCAGCGGGACCTTGCCCTTGCGCTGCAGCCCCCCCTTTATTCTTTGCACGGCACCCCCTTTATGTTTCCCGTTGCAGGCCGCCCCCCTCCACCGCGCTCCCCGGGCGCCGT